GTCAGTTAACGGGAGACGCCCAAACCCGGCACCCTTTCATAGTGAGGCCATGTGCACAAGCGTGCCTTTGCACTTTCAATTTTGCCGAGGCACGGCGCTAACACCTCTTGGCAAGGTGCTGACTGACTGCGCTGACGTAGCAGTTTTGTCACATAACCGTTACGTCAGCGGGCGATGGGGTCGTCACTTCCCTATTATATTATTAACTTATAAAATTATTAGGCATTGCTTTCCCCAAGAATTATCTAAATATAGTTCTGTTATTATATTTTATAGGTTTGTTGATATTGTCTTGACTAATCAATCAACAGTGGTAGAGCCACGCGGCAGCGATTTTGCTGTCGCACGGATGGATCGGCTCGAACCGGGGTGGTACCACGACCTCACAGAATACCACCGTGAAGTAGAGGTTTACCTCTGCGTTGCGCTTGGTGAGTGCAGGTAGCTGGAGGCCCAATTAACCCCCCCCCCCCCTCCCTCCCCATCAACATAGTAGCGGAATTAAAGAAAAGACTACCCCAGGAGGGTACCAGCACCCTTGGAGAATCCCTCCCTTAGCATCCACGACCAAACTACTCCACTACTGAGCGTGGGTGCTCAGGCTGCCCCGCGTATTCGGGGGAGGGGGGGGAGTGAAGACGGAAAAGCCGGCCTTGCTCTTTTTAACCGAAAGTCCGGTGTCTTCTCCGACTGATACTTCATAACTGTCCTACCCGGGGTACAAATTAGAACACTCCTTTGTGCCTCGCGCTGGGGTTTGCGTATACGTCAGAGAGTACATCTGTTTTCTCCGCCTCGGCATTACGGACCTGTTGGACCTTCTGCTGACCTCTCATCCGGACGGATATCAGGTCTCCGACGATACCCCTCTTGGCTCTTCGCACCATTGTCTGATCCGGAGTACGATGCCACTCACGCTCCCATCGTAGTTGCGATCTGCAGCTTGCCGCCGTGTTTGGCACTATAGGTCGGCCGATTGGGACAGGATGCGGTCTTTTTTTGCATCCTACCCTTGGGCGCGGATCTGCTTCTCGCCGGAAGATCCCAGCGTTGTTGTCGATTTTGTTGCTGATGTGGTACTTCAGGGTATGGAACTTTTTATTCTATCCTCTGTGGTGCCCATCGGAGGCACATCCCAGCTATGGTTTGGTCGCTCCTGTAAAATAACATCACGCTATAGGCAGGAGTGCTACCGGGCCTGGGCTGACGCATCAGCGTCTCGGGATGTAAACACCAGCGCACTTAAAAGAATTATAATTCCTCCTCCAGGTCCTTCAAAAGCGTCATTGCCAAGGCAAGGTCTGAGCACATCGGCAGAATTGGCGAGAAGCTAGTTCGCCTTCCTTCGGGAACCCGTGAATTCTGGTCTCGCCAAGGCTGTCCAAGGAAACTTCTGTCAGCCATATCTTCCATCTCTGGACAGAGAGGACGACTCACTGGCCCATGCCGCAAAGGAGAAAGCCGATATTTTAAGTTCTCTCTGTGCGTCCAACTCGGCTCTAGATGACGGGGGGAACACACCGCCGACCATCCCGCGGTGTGAGTGCTCCATGCCGGATGTGCGATTTACACAGCGCTCGGTTCGTAAAGCACTCTTCTCCCTGGACGTCAGCAAGTCGAGTGGGCCTGATGGAGTTCCTCCCATTGTGCTAAAGACGTGTGCTCCGGAGTTGGCACCGGTTTTAACGCGTCTTTTCCGGTACTCCTACTCCCAAGGCATAGTCCCGAATTCATGGAAGACAGCTTTGGTCCACCCGATCCCTAAAAAAGGCGACCGCTCAGATCCGTCCAACTACAGGCCTATCGCCATAACCTCCTTGTTCTCCAAAATAATGGAATCCAGTATAAACTGCTAGCTCATGAGGTACCTTCAGGATCACCAGCTGATTAGTGACCGCCAGTACGGTTTTCGTCGGGGTCGATCAGGTGGTGATCTGGTCTACCTGACTCATAGATAGATGGGCGGAGGCAAAAGAGTCCAAGGGGGAGGCATTGGCCGTTAGTTTGGACATAGCGAAGGCCTTCGATCGGGTCTGGCACAAAGCGCTTCTTTCGAAGCTTCCTTCCTATGGGCTTCCCGAAAAATTGTGCAAACGGATCACCAGTTTCCTTGCTGATCGGAGCATCAAGGTCGTAGTAGACGGTGCATGCTCAGATTTCAAGCCTATCAACGCTGGTGTTCCACAAGGCTGCGTGCTATCACCAACGCTGTTTCTCCTGCATATCAATGATATGTTGCAAACTAGTAACATTCATTGCTATGCAGATGACAGCACTGGTGAGGCCTTATATACCGGCCGTGCCAATATTTTTCGGGAAAACGTCGCCGAGTACCGGGACAAACTTTTCTCTGAAGTCGAGGTTTTGCTGAACAAAGTCTCGGTGCGACTAAATCTAGTCCAGTTCAATCCCCAGAAGACACAAGTTTGCGCGTTTACCGCTAAAAAGAACCCCTTTGTCGTATCTCCTCAGTTTCAAGACACTCCCCTTGCTGCCTCAGCTATCATCGGAATCCTCGGCGTCGACATATCGAATAGTGTACAGTTTCGTGGTCACTTGGAAGAGAAGACCAAACTGGCCTCTAAAAAGCTTTGCGCGCACAGCATAGCGAGACAGTATTTCATGCCGGCACATCGCTTGCAACTTTACAAAGCGCAAGTTCGGCCTCACATGGAATACTGTACTCATCTCTGGGCCGGGGCACCCCAGTGCCAGCTCCTTCCACTTGACCGCATCCAGCGCAGAGCGGTTCCAATCATCGACGACCGAGTTCTTTCTGATTGGCTCGATACACTGGCACTGCGTAGAGATGTTGCATCTCTGCGTATTTTATTGTATTTACCACGGGGAGTGCTCTGAGGAATTGTTCGGACTCATTCCAGCCGCCCAATTTCACCATCGCACATCGCGGCATAACTTGCGATACCATCCATACCACCTGAATGATTGGCGGTCCACCACTGTGCGATTTAGAAGAAGTTTTCTCCCTCGCACAACTCCCTTGTGGAATCGATTACCACCAGCTATTTTTCCGGACCGATACGATTTAAGGACCTTCAAGAAAAGAGCATACTCCTTTTTAAAAGGCCGGCAACGCATCTGCAATTCCCCTAGTGTTGCGGTTGTTCATGGGCGGCGGTAGTCACTTTCATCAGGTGAGCCGCATGCTCGTTTGAAATGCTCTCCTATAAAAAAAAAATCAAGAGCTTTGAGACTATTTTGAAATTTCTACATTGGCAAGCGATATACTGCACAGGATAAAATATTCTAGTGGGAAAAGTATACCAGTATTCATATGGAGGCATTCACTCCATATAATCTACCTGTATCAAATATGGTGACAGTCAAAAAAATAAATTATTTCTCTTAAATTATAGTATCAGAAATGCTTAACTTGCCAAACAAACAGGGCTTCAGCTTACCGACATACATACTTCTTGCTTAAACACATAAACACTAGTTTGTAATTTGTGAAATAATTTGACAGTGATTGTGTAGCTTATGCCTAGCAGTAAATTGATAAATATTGCTAAATGATATATGAATATTTATTATAATGTCTTGTGCTATATGGAAATTGGTATTGAATTGCTCGTAAATGTTGCAGTACCAGTAAGCAAAGTGTAGGTTGTCTTTCTATTGACACTCTGATACTGAGTGGACAATGGACAACCTGGAAAGAGATGTAAGAATTCCTTGGAGGAGGTCTACAACAGTGAACTTGTGATGGGCTGAAATGATGTGATGCTCTCATTAATTACTAGAAATTAAATAAAATAAGCCAAATATACATATTAAAAACTAAGAAAATAAGTTGTGTCTGCATAATGACAAAAATATCCTATTTATGAAACATTGAAAAATATAACTAGTTTTGAAAATGAAATTATGTACTAAATTTGGGGACACGGCAGTGCCCCCGCCAAGTCGAGCAAAAAAGCGGCACGGCCGTACCATCGTTTTCTCGAAGCAGTTCAGGCCATTTTCGACCCCCTATAACTTCGTTGTGGATAAAACTAGAAACCTGAATTATTCAGTAACCAAGCATGAATTGTATAAACACGGTATATTTCAAATTTCATTCGGTTTAAATCAGTTGTTTAAGAATTATAACTAGTCAAAATTTCTTAATTTTGTCACTCACTGACTGACCGATCATCAAAACTTTAAGGCACTTCTAGCAGACGTAGAAGCTTCAAATTTAGAATACAATTAGTGTTTAGTGTATAAATCAAGGAAAAACTAAAATATTTTGTAATTTCGATTCAGTTTTCTAGATACACCAACTGCATAAATAACTTTATAATCGTATATAAATATATAGGATTACAAAGTTACATTTGCAGTGAATGAACAGTGTACCTGTATATGTATAATATAGTGGAATAATAGATGTAGATAGGTACCTAGACATAATTATGTTCAAAGGTAACTTTTAAAATAATCAACGGAATGAAAAAGCAAGAATGGGACATGTATTATGAAGTTGTAACAAAATTCCGCAAAATATTAAGTAGACTTAATTGCCCAAAAATCCGTAGTTGGTATTCAAGAAGTAGATGGTACCGGAAAGGAAAAAAGTAAGACTATCTACAAAAAGAAATGAGATGCTATCAAAAACATAACTTGTAAAAAAATCAAGTCTCGTAACTCAGTTCTTCTACCGTAAAAAGTTGTGAGATCCATGTATATCCAATACCAAGTCGGTTAATTTATTCAGTCCTTACTTAAGGGCCCTTCTGTCTCAAGTTACTGCGTAATTAGCTAACCTAACAACATCTTATAGTGACCATATCAACATTAAAAATCTTTTATGTTTTAAATATATAGATTAACTTAGCAATCGCACTAAACAATCTAATTTAATATGATATGTATTACTTGTGTACATTGCGTTTTCATGCCATGGCCAAGTCAATCTATTTGCACCGTGTGCTCGTTTGTCACCCTTATTCTATAAAAAAAAAATTAAAACTCAATTTTATTATCTGTCATTTCAGAAGTTAAAAACTGTGGTATGTGAAGGTGCAGGTACAATGTCATCAGCTCCACCACCACAAATACTTTTAGACACTCCTACAACAACTGATGATGATATTTGGGAGGGTGGTGCAAATAAAAAGAAAAAGAGGCCAGGCTTAAGTAGTGGACTAGTTCCAGGAAAGAAAGTTATTAAAATGTATAAAGAACAGAAAATCAAAGATGCAATAAACAAATAAGTATAGAGAGGAAGTTATTTTACTTAAATCCATTACATACACACAACCTTAAAATAATTTTTCTTAAGATGGTCCTATCTTACGAAAATTAGAATCGAATCTTATATGCTTATATCTATACTATGATGGTGATACTACATACCGAAAAAAATATGAATTATGTCCTTACTAAAGTGTAGTAGGCATGAGCGTTTCATCAATATTATATAACTAACATGCAAGTATTTACTTTTAACGATCAAACAAATTGATCTTTGCTATATTGAGACATCTGACATTTGCATGTCTAACCACTTATGAAAGCACATTCTTGTACCTTTGTAGTTGTAAATGAATAGGGCTGTAATGATCCATTCATGCATTGCAGCCTAAAAAATACACTGCTGAATATAGGCCTCCCCCATAAATTGCCTCATTTTGTCATACCTGCCACGCTTGGCAGGCAAGTTGGCAACTGCAAATTTATTTTGATGTTATCAGGAAGATGCTGCTGCTGATCTACTAGTTCAGTTTCTCTCTGGCGTCTCATACAACAGTCACGGGAGGATATAGGGTCTCCGCTAGGAGTAAAAGTATTCAGTGATATATGTAGGGTAGCAAATATTCTTACACTGCCACTACACGGTTAGCTGTTTGCGGTAATGATGATGATGATGAGTAATGAACAGCATATTTCAGTTGTTCACTATCTTCATTTGAATATTATTTTTGATGAGTAAATATATAAATAAAGTAAATGTATAAATATAAATATATATATATATATATATAATTATATATTTACTCATCAAAATAGATACGCGTAACATAACCTAGCATTTTATAAGCTCTTTTAGTTGTGATATTAATATGTGACCTCATATCATCTGCAAAAAGGAGAATTTCGGAATTATGGAAGCAGGATATAACATCATTTATAAATATTATAAACAGTGGTGTACCAAGATGAGAACCCTGAGGAACGCCTGAAGAAACTGGGAGAAATGATGAACAGTATACCTTTATAGCAGGAGTTTTCAAAGTGGCGGGGCGCAGAGACATGCAAAGGAGGGCACAATCTAGCTGCGCCCAATCCCCCCCCCCCCTCATCAAAATGGTAGCGGGATTAAAAGGAACACTAACCCAGGAGGGTACCAGCATCCCTGGAGAACCCCTCGCTGGGCATCCACGTACGAAACCTGCTCGGAGCAAGCGGAGCAAGAAGTCAAAGGCAACCCCTGCCACGCTTTCCGTGAATTTCTGCAATATCAGGGGACTTCATTCTAACCTTAACGCCACCCACTACCATTTGGAGATAGCAAAGCAAGCCTTGCTCTTTCTAACCGAGACACCGGTGTCCTCTCCGGCTGATACTTCGTATCTCTCCTACCCGGGGTACAAATTAGAACGACTCATCGACCACGTCCAAATGACTGCAGACTCCGTGCTACAACAGGTCTCGTCCGCAGAGATCGTGATACTCGGTGATTTAAACGCCTACCACGCTGAATGGCTTTGTTCCCGTTTAACCGATCATGCGGGTAGATCTGTCTATGTCAGATCCGGAGTACGGTGCCACTCACACTCCCATCGCAGTTGCGATCTGCAAATTGCCGCCATGTTTTGCACTAAAGGTCGACTGATTGGGACGGCATGCGGTCTTTTTTGCATCCTACCCTTGGGGCGGGTTTGATTCTCGCCGAATGATCCCAACGTTGTTGCTGATTCTGTCGCTGATGTGGTACTTCAGGGAATGGAATTATTTATTCCATCATCTGTGGTTGCCTATCGGAAGCAGAAATCAGCCATGGTTTGGTCACTCCTGTAAAATTGAATCACGCTATAAGCAGGAGTGCTACCGAACCTGGGCTGACGCATCAACATCCTGGGATGTAAATATCAGCGCTCTTAAAAATAAGTATAATTCCGCCTCCAGGTCCTTCAAAAGTGTCATTGCCAAGGCAAAACCAGAGCACATCGGCAGAATTGGCGAGAAACTAGTTCGCCTCCCTTTGGGAACACGTGCACTCTGGTCTCCCGCCAAGGCTGTCCAAGGGAACTTCTGTCAGCCATCTCTGCCACCTCTGCACAGGGTGTCGCCCACTGGCCCATGACGCAAAAGAGAAAGCCGATCTGCTAGGCTTTCTTTTTGCTTCCAACTCGACTCTAGATGACGGGGGGAACACACCGCCGACCATCCCGCGGTGTGAGTGCTCCATGCAGGAAGTGCTGTTTACACAGCGCTCGGTGCGTAAAGCACTCCTATCCCTGGACGTTAACAAGTCGAATGGGCCTGATGGAGTGCCACCTATTGTGCTGAAGACGTGTGCTCCGGAGTTGGCACCGGTTTTAACGCGTCTTTTCCGGTACTCCTACTCCCTAGGCGTAGTCCCGAATTCATGGAAGACAGCTTTGGTGCACCCGATCCCTAAAAAAAGGCGACCGCTCAGATCCGTCCAACTACAGGCCTATCCCTTTCACCTCCTTGTTCTCCAAAGTAATGGAAACCATTATTAAGGGCCAGCTCATGCGGTACCTTGAGGATCACCAGCTGATTAGTGACCGTCAGTACGGTTTCCGTCGAGGTCGGTCAACTGGTGATCTTTTAAGTTACCTCATAGATGGGCGGAGGTAGGGAGTCCAAGGGGGAGGCGTTAGTCGTTAGTTTGGACATAGCGAAGGCCTTCGATCGGGTTTGGCACAAAGCACTTCTTTCGAAGCTGCCTTCCTATGGGCTTCCCGAGAAATTATGCAATTGGATCACCAGTTTCCTTGCTGATCGGAGCATCAAGGTCGTAGTGGACGGTGCATGCTCCGATTACAAGCTGGTGTTCCACAAGCCTGCGTGCTATCACCAACGTTGTTTCTTCTGCATATCAATGATATGTTGCAAACCAGTAACATTCATTGCTATGCGGACGACAGCACTGGTGATGCTTTATACACCGGCCGTGCCAATATTTCTCGGGAAAACGTTGTCGACTACCGGAACAAACTTGTATATGAAGTCGAAACTTTGTTGAACAAAGTCTCAGACTGGGGTCGACTAAATCTTCCAGTTCAATCCCCAGAAGACCAAAGTTTTTGCTCGTTTACCGGTAAAAAGAACCCCTTTGTCGTATCTCCTCAGTTTCAAGGCACTCTCCTTGTTGCCTCAGCCAATATCGGAATCCTCAGTGTCGACATATCGTGTGACGTGCAGTTTCGTGGTCACTTGGAAGAGAAGGCCAAATTGGCCTCTAAAAAAAGATTGGCGTGCTCAGCAGAGCGGGACAGTATTTCATGCCGGCACACCGCCTGCAACTTTACAAGGCGCAGGTTCGGCCTCACATGGAATACTGTTCCCATCTCTGGGCAGGGGCTCCCCAGTGCCAGCTCCTTCCACTTGACCGCATCCAGCGCAGAGCGGTTCGAATCGACGACGACCGAGTTTTTTCCGATCGGCATCACTCACTGGCACTGCGTAGAGATGTTGCATCTCTTTGCATATTTTATCGCATCTATCACGGGGAGTACTCTGAGGAATTGTTCAGACTAATTCCAACCGCAAAATTTCACCATCGCACATCGCGACAAAACTCGCGATACCATTCATACCATCTAGATGATTGGCGGTCCACCACTGTGCGATTTAGAAGTTTTCTCCCTCGAACAACTTCCTTTTGGAATCCACCAGCGATTTTTCCGGACCGATACGACTTAGGGACCTTCAAGAAAAGAGCCTACTCCTATTTAAAAGGCCGGCAACGCATGTGCAATTCCCCTGGTGTTGCAGTTGTTCATGGGCGGCGGTAGTCGCTTACCATCAGGTGAGCCGCATGCTCATTTGTTCACTCTCCTATAAAAAAAACTTGACAGTAATCTAAAATTATCTGATCAAGGGATATTTTTTTTTTTGGTAGAAAGGGGGCGCATAAGAATAAGTTAGGGAACCACTGCTTTATAGCAACCGCCTGACTATGTTTTTTAAGATAATAGGATCCATCGGAGTAACTCACCCAGTACACCGATTTGATCTAATTTATGTATCAGAATATCATGTGAAATTTTGTCAAATGCTTTTGTATAATCGGTGTACACTGCATCTACCTGCAGTCCACTGTCCATAGCAGTATAAAGATGATCGAGAAATTCATAGATTACTTCCTGTAGAATTTCGACTTACAAAACCATGTTGTTCGGGAATTATAATTGGTCGAATTATTTGAGTGTGTCATAAATAATTTTCTCAAATAGTTTTGGAATCGAGCTTAATTTTGAAATAGGACGGTAGTTTGAAATATCGTGCTTCATATCACTTTTAAATATGGGAGTTATGAATGATTTTTTGCATTGGAAAGGCATTTCACCCAACTTCATGGAATCATCATCATTACAGCCCTTCACAAGTCCACTGCTGAACATAGGCCTCCCCCAAAGAATGCCACAAAGCACGGTCCTGAGCCACCTGCATCCATCGACTTCCTGCATGTTTTACCAGGTCGTCACTCCATCTCGTTTGGGGGACGCCCTACACTTCGCCTACCGGTACGAGGCTGCCACTCGAGAACCTTTCTTCCCCATCGGTTGTCGGTTCTTCGAGCTATATGGCCGGCCCACTGCCACTTCAGCTTACTAATCCGTTGGGCTATGTCGGTTACTCTGGTTCTACTGCGGATATCCTCATTCCTAAGTTTATCACGCAGAGAAACTCCGAGCATAGCCCTCTCCATAGCTCGCTGAGCGACCTTGAGCTTCCTCATACGGCCAGCAGTGAAGGACCACGTCTCAGTTCCATAAGTCATCACTGGCAACACGCACTGGTTGTACAATTTCGTTTTCAGGTTTTGAGGTATGTCTGACGAGAAGATGTGTCGTAGCTTCCCGAACGCTGCCCAGCCGAGTTGAATCCGTCGATTGACCTCTCGGTCGAAGTTGGACTTACCTAGTCGGACTATTTGTCCCAGGTAAACATACTCGTCAACAACTTCGAGCTTAGTGTTCCCAACAACTACCGGCATAGGTGTGACATGGACATTAAA